ATAAGTAGTAGGAAAAATATTGTAGTACACGAGGACGGACAACTTCGAGCTAAGAAAGACATATACTCAAATAAAAAGTCTAAGAAAGTTTAATAAAATACGTTTTGGTCCGAGACCTTCATCAGTTGTAATACAATAACTTACAAATTCCTTAAATAGATTTATATAGGGCGTGATGACACATAAACAAACACAGTAATTACTACGCGAAAAATTATCACAATAAAAAGAAATGGAAACATTGTCGAATCCACTGAAAATGTTAAGGAACCTGCGTTGACTTGAAAGGCGAGAATTGTACTAAAATTCTCAATCAACACTGAGACTGGAACCTTTGATGCCCGCCCAATTTGAAAAAATTCTTAGCATTATATATAGTTTATTCTTTTTTTGGAGTGAAATTCCTGGTGCTTATTCAAGCCGAAGGGTGCCAGACAGAATAACTGTGCGCTCCAATATGCTTCTTTGGTAATTAGAAGTTTCTCAATGTTACCTGAATTGTAACATGGAGAAACTTCTAATTACCAAAGAAGCATATTGGAGCGCACAGTTGTTCTCTCTGGCACCCTTCAGCTTGAATAAGCGCCAGGAATTTCACTCCAAAAAAAGAATAAACTATAATTAATGCGGAGAATTTTTTCAATTTGGGCGGGCATCAAAGGTCCCAGCCTCAGCGTTGATTGAGAATTTTAGTGCAATTCTCGCCTTTCAAGTCAACGCAGGTTCCTTAACATTTTCAGTGGATTCGACAATGTTTCCATTTCTTTTTATTGTGATAATTTTTTGTGTAGTAATTACTGTGTTTGTTTATAGGTGTCATCACGCCCTATATAACTCTATTTAAGGAATTTGTAAGTCATTGTATTACAACTGATGAAGGTCTCGGACCAAAATGTATTTTATTAAACTTTCTTAGACTTTTTATTTGAGTATATGTCTTTCTTAGCTCGAAGTTGTCTGTCCTTGTGTACTACAATATTTTTCATATATATATATATATGCAACTGTGCGCTCCAATATGCTTCTTAGGTAAATATATATATATATATATATTGCGATGGTATCGCATTATTCTGCCATTAAAATCCCCTGATGAGTGGGCAACTACGAAACAGGTCTGTAGGGATGTATATGTAGTTGTTTTTTTCCGACTACCACACATTATATATATATATATTTGTACTCTAGAAATATCTGCAAAATTCACCTGGACTGAAATAACAATATGGCATGTTGGATAATATATCTCTTATTAGATGTTTTTTTGTGTAGTATCGCCGAGTATTTTTACTTGTTGTTTGTGTTTTTACTTGCCCTATGGGCTCTTCAAAATACAGCACAACTTGTAAAAATACTCAGCGATACTGCACAACAAAACGTCTAATAAGATACATTTATTGTCCAATCACACTTTGTAGAGTACAAATAACACCTAAGACAAGTACAAATATCACATGGTATTTGTACTCCTGGGAACTGGTTTAAGAAAAATGGCGGACAATTTAAATCATCTTTCTGACAACAAAGAGTCAGAATATTGATCTAAGTTTATTAGGTAAATCGAATGAAAAAAGGCAGTTAGAGGACAATGAAATTTCATTATTTATTGAAGAAAATGGAAACAGCAATGCGCCAAATCCATTTTGCTTCACATACTTCTGTCATGCACTCCCCATAAATAAATATCTGTGAAATTCACCCACACTAAAATAACAATTTGGCATATTGGATAATAAAATAATAATAATAGACGTTTTGGTGTGTTGTATCGCTTGGTATTTTTACTCATTATTTGTATTTTAACTCACCTTACCGGGTGGTCAAAATATGGCACAAATCATAAAAATATACAGCGGTACTACACCACAAAATGTTCAACAAAAATTAAGATATATTTATTATATTGGTGAACTGGTCCATATATAGTATGTTAAAGGAGGTATTATGTTTCTAAGGAAGGTGAGGTACTGTGTTGGTGTTACAAAATAATTTGGCTTTATCAACTGCACTGATAATGTAAATTAGCCAAACATCAGAAACTTTCCTCATGTCCTCCCAATTATAATCCTGTGCAGTTTATCAACTGGTAAACTATAACTGGTAAACTATTTTCTCGTTGCCATGCACCCACCAATAACGTAGCTCCATTTTCTGCCTTTAAAAGCACACACAACCCACAATTCCTCTATTCGCTCCGACGAAGGGCTAACGCTCGAAACGTCAGCTTTTGTAATCATTACGGTGGCCAATTTACCATTTCAACTTTGTTGATATATCCAAATTATTTCGTTACTCCCACCGACGCAGCCCCAAACAGTTTCTTTCGAAACTATCAGCCTTTATTCATTTAA